ACCAGTCACTCGTTACCAGAAGTAGTAAAACCAGTGACTCGTTACCAGTGAGGATTTTTCGTTTGGCATCGGTCGTACCATTTTCGGAGACTTATCGCCTGCGCCGGCAAAATGGAAAAGTACCAATAATAATAATAATAATAATAATAATAATAATATAATAATATAGATTGAACTAAAACGTCAGTTCGGGCTCGTAATGGATTGAATGCACATAGAACCGATGATAGCTTGAAACAATTTATTTTCCCAAAAGAAATTCTTTAGATTTCTGGAACTTTCCACAAAAATACTTGTACAACTCTTCTCTATATCACACTGCACCATCAGCAAATATACTTCAAACTACTGAGAATGTTTAACACTATGCAATGCAAGCTCGAACGGAGATCTCCATACTCCGAAGTCAGCTCTGAATTAAGAACTGAATTGAAATCGAAATCGAAATTGAGTCAATGGCTAGGCGGCAATTAGTAGCCAACCGCTACTTTAATCGTCTCTGTTGGTAAATTGCCCTATTTTGGTACTTAAGTTTTTCATTAAGGCGATTTACGCCGCGCCAACTAGGCGAAACTTGTCAATTTTTGTGAAATGTACGTGGAGTAGCATTTGGAATTGCCGTTCGAGCTGTGACAGTATTCGCTAAGTGGAGGGAGTTGATTGGCAGGAGCCTGTCACGTGAGTGATCACACACCTAAGTTCAGACTCCGAGCAAAGCAGCTTATGCGTGCAATGAGAAATATTGTATATATTAATAATTATCAAGTTTTGAAACAGGTTATCCACATTGGATCCACATGGAATAATTAAACTAATATCGCGATCTAAATGAAGACAAATGGCACAACTGAGTGCAACAGATTAGCTTAAAGTCAAAATATTCAAATTCATCCTTCGCTGTAAAACACAGATTGGACAGTGGTAGTCACGTGGGGGTCACCCTTCCCGTGAACTGTCCACAGCCAATACATCTTGCACAATTCAGTAGATAACACAATTCAGTGAAGTCTTGGTTTGAAAGAAATTAAAACACTAAAGTTCTTGTACAATACTGAGGCACATGAGTTACTGAAACTATACACTATGTACATATAGGGACGGCGGTATTTGAGCGAAGTAGCAAATGGTGAAAAACATTTTACACTATGATAGCAATAAAATAAATCAGAGCTTTGAAGATCCAGGTATACGGATCATGTCCATAAGTCCACAATATTACAAAGTTTCTGATATAACAATAAGAAGATTACGAAAATGACAAATATAAGATCAGTGCTTTGAAGATCCAGGTACACGGATCATGTCCATAAGTTTCAAAGACACTGGTAAAATGACACAATGAAGATTACATAAAGATAATAGTACTATGTACAATATATACACATTTCACCATTTGCTGTTATGGAAGATGCCTCTATTTGCGGTTGGCTACTAATTGCCGCCTAGCCATTGACTCAATTTCGATTTCGATTTCAATTCAGTTCTTAATTCAGTAGCAGCGGGTCTTATTAAGCTGGTATAGATCTTCTCGAGACTGATATTTAATTTAGCATTTCTTCTTATTAAAGGGTAAAGAGACATTTTAGCAGCGCTTTGCTGTAATTTCTATAGTAGGATCATAATTTATCAGATTACGGATATGTTCGTATTGAGAAAGTTCTATTTTAGCATAGAAATTGTGGCTCGTGGTGAAAATTTGATCAGCTATGGGTCTTATTTTTAGTTCTTTATGTATCTGCAGGTTACGTAACGAACCATGGGGAGTTCAACAATTTGCCTGAATATTTTGTTCTGAAAGACCTGTAGTTTGTGTCTATAAGTCTTGTACACAGTTGCCCAGAATAGGCACTGCATAAAGTAGGCTGGGTCTTATTAAGCTGGTATAGATCTTCTTCTTGAGACTGATATTTAATTTAGCATTTCTTTTTATTAAAGGGTAAAGAGACAATTTTAGCAGCGGTGGCTTTGCGCAAGGCATACCGCAGTGTGTTCTTTGAATAACAGCTGTGAGTCGAAAGACCAACTCCTTAGATACTTGGTACTTGTAACAATTGCTAGGGGTTGATCATTAATTTTTATGTTTACATTCACAGGAGTGAACTTCCGATGGCGTCTGAAAAGGAGAATTTGGCTCTTTGAGGGATTTACTTTTAATTTCCATGAATCATAATAGTGTGCTATGATATTTACTGCGCTTTCAAGTTTATCTACAGCGAGATGAGGTTTGGCGCAAAAAAACTGAATTGATGCTCTCTACGAACTTATATAGTTTTCCCCTGGCCGCTGAGAAATCTCTAGTACCTTTCACTTCTCGAAATTATTAAAAGGCATATATGGTTAAAGTTATGAACAAGAGCCGGATAAAGAAAGTTATATACAAGAGCCGGATAAAGAAAGTTATATACAAGAGCCGGATACAGTTACCATTACATATAGGGATCAATTACAAGACTTTTGGCGATTTCTCACCAAATCTGCCGATAAAAACTAATCACCAAAAGCCATGCGGCTTTCTCGCCAGTTAGCAAAAAACCCATTTACCTCTGTTAAAATAGACTTGCACTTGTAATCCTATTTTTTCGGTAAAACTTCGTTTTTCGAGTATTCTATTACATTATGCAAACGATACTACAATTTTACATAAAATTCACTATAACTATTTACATATGCATAAAATTCGAATAGAATGTTAAAAGAATCTCTTCACCTTATTGCATTGCCATCGGCAAACAATGTGCAAACAATCGGTAAAACTTGAACTCGACAGCTTATCAGAAATAGGTTAACATCGATGATCAAATTACACTGCCAGTGAAACACCACGACTGAACTAAGTAAAAGTTTATAAAAAAAAGGCAAAAGCCCACAAATATATGCCAAGATAATAGCGAGGGCTGTCTTAAATGTGATACTTGTTTCTATATAATCTATACTATTAATATTTAAATATGATATGAATAGTAAAATACTGTCAACATCAAATGTGGTGTGGTGGTGTATTTAATTATGGCAAAGCACACTAGGGCTATCTGCCTAAGGGGAGGGATGCCTTTCGTGGAGGACTTTCTAAGGGAAACTGGCTAGTATACACGTTACACATGGGGAAAACCACGAAAACGCCCATGCAGCCAGCCCGTTCGCGGGATTCGAACCTCGGACCGAACTACCAGTGTTCAGCGACTTTACCGCTCAGCCGCTGGTAGGCCAACATCAAATGATGTGTATTTGCTTAATATTACTTTAAAATAATTTTATAGCATGACTTTTGTTTAACAAATAATATAAAATATGCAGAATAGTGCGATATAGCCTTCTCTCTCTTTTTGATGTATAAAACTTAAGGATTTTCACATTTCAGATTAATCTGTCAAACACAATTGAAAAAAAAAAAAAAAAAACGGTGAAGAAGTGAAGCTCATTCATAGTATTGTTCTGCTTTAAATCTTAAATATTTTAGATTGCTTGTATATGTTCTGTCTTGCTGTGTATTTCTAGGACTTTTTTTAAAAAATTATTTATTTAATGCATTTTTGTGTTCAATTTTAGTGCATTTTTGTTTAATTGAATTTGTGGCGTTTATTGGGTTTATACATATTTATTTTATGTATTATGTTGTAGATTGCATAACTCTTTACCGATTAACGTTTAAATTGAAAGGACAGTTGAAGTAGAATCATTGATATGTGTGGGCTTCAGATCTGTGGACTACCAAGCCTTGGAGAAAACTGGTGATTTCTTGCCAATTTGGCGACATTCTGAAATTTGCTGGGAAAAGTGTTTTCGAAGTCCTAGAGGCGATTTACATGGAAGTTTAGAAAAGTGCTTACCCTTCCTCTTAAGAAATCATATAAATGTGAGGTAATCAGGCACGATCAGTCAATTCTAGCCACACCTTTTAAAGAACATTGCATTTTAAGAATTTTAAAGCTAGGTCTACCTTTTAATGGTTCCACATAAATTACTCAATTAAATGCCAAAGCAACAATCTAGAGAATATCTCAACATCCTAGTCCATCGGTCAGTTTGAGATCAGAGTTATACGCTTAAACTGAGCTTTAAATAATAAAGTAAATAGAAATAAACTTAAAAGCGTTGCTTGGTCAACATCGTCATAGCCTACTTGATTTGATTCATCTCTTTGTATGGAATCATGGACATTTTCAAAATATGTTAGTCATGTTATCCTTTTCGAAACACCATGCATACCAGAAAATGTCGTTCATATATCGATATATATATGTCTTTAAATGTCGTTTATATGTCGATGTATATGTTGCTAAAGGTCGTTTGTATATCGCTATATATGTCGTTTTCTGGCAATATGTTTTGTACTAAAGTGTTTATTTGTTGTTTGTTCATTTGTTTGAATTATAGATCCTTTGATTCCGAGGATAACGGCTTTGGAATTTGTTCAATAAATACATAAACAATACAGCAGCTCAATTAAAATAAAAAGTAAAAACAGCTGAATTAGAAGGCGAGATATAGGCCATTTCGTTTCTCGTTTGGCAGCCATTTCTTGTCAACTTGGCGATTTCCTGGGAAATTTACATAAACACAGCTTTAAAGCTCTACCACTCATTCTTCCAGAAGTTTCCAGAGTCCATGTTGCAGGATATTAATACGAGTAGGAGAACTCAGTTGTTAAGCAGTTGCGAATCAATTTGTGAGACTTAGCGGTTAGGTTAAGGTTTATCCTGAGTGATTTGAGGAACTTTACGATACATTTCGTGTGCTAAGGAGGAACTGCTATATATCCACACTTTCTCTGAGTTATTTCCAACTATTATTGGGCTGTGTGTGCTATTTATTGTGCATATTTTCCTAATAAATTGTTCATTTCTTCTGCTTACCTGGATTTATTATTTAATAAAACATCAGCGATCCTGTATCTCGCAACAAATGTCATTCCCACTCATTGTTTCATACGGTAGGAGGGAAAAAATTTAATGCAATTTTCACTTAAGTGTTAATTAATATTATTTATTTCTGTTCATTAGGTCTCATGAAAGTAGGAGAAAGTCAGATGCCATGAAAATGGGAGAAAGAATTCGTGAATTGTCTGAAAAATTTGAAGATACTGAACTTGGACGGGAAATCAAAAGAATTGCCAATGAGGTTTACTTCTTATATTCAGTATTCGTAAGATATAGTATTTTATAAAATTTTAAGAACTGAGCGAGGAGTATATTTAGAACGAAGGAAAACATCGTATAAATAATTCAGCTCCGAAAGTCAGTCGGTTGCATGTTTTTACTTTGTTATTTTAAAATAGATACTTCAAGATGGTAGCTGTTGAACCACCCGTTGTTTACAACTGTAGCGTATGTCGTCATCACTGCGCAGAGGAGATCAGGAGATTTTAGCAAATCAGAGAACTCCATTATCTTCCGCAACAGTCGTTACCATAGTTACAAAGCAAGCCAGAATGACCTTGAAGTGCATGTTCTAAAAAACTTTAACGGAGCCTAAATTTTAAATTATGCCACTTTTTTCTCGAGGACAGCCGAAATCGCTTATTTGAAATTCTAAAAATAAGGGCATAAATACAAATAAATAAATAAATAATTTATCTGAAAGCTTTTTAGATTTTAAAATACTTCCAAAGGGGCATTTTTTCAACGGTTATGTTAGAGACGTTAAGACCTTGTAGAGACATTAGGTATTTTTTGGAAGCAGGAAAGATGAAAAATTAGCAATGCCCTCGCCGGCAATCGAACCGCGGACCTTTCAATTACGCGCTGAGCGTGCAGACCACTACACCACGAAGGCTCGTTCAGAAGGCGGGAGAAATACCTTATAACCTTTATTTATCAAATATCATGTTCTTAGCACCTAAACCATAAAATTCAATTCAACAGCAATATCACAAAATAATTTAAAAAGAGCATATGTTTAGGGCTTCCGATACACAGTCTCGTGCGCTGGAGATAAAAATGTTATTTTTTTACCGTGCATTGTTGTTACTCGCTTTGAAATCGTTGAGTTTGTTAATCAAAAATTCGCTAAAGTTTTACAAAGTATGACGTATTCAGAATTTGACTAGGAACCGTTGTTTTTTCACTGTGCGAAAAACATACATACGTTCATGCAGGTTCTTCATTATTTCATTTCTTAAAATATAATGCAGGGCTCCAATATTTGATGACAACAATTTGAAAAGTGAAACGCCGTTTATAGTGAACCAATGCAAAATGCCAAAACGAAATTAATAGGCCTTCTGGGTAAATTGCCCCTTTGGGCCAATAATTAACGCCTTAAAATATACAATTATTGCGCCTAAACGAGTATACTCGAAAATAATTCGCGAGTTTTTCTAGCGCATGATAGAATATTTTCGACTAGAACAGCGTCTCGTGCTTCGCTACGGCTAGAGAAACAATTATTTTCCCTGGCAACCTCAAGTTGCTTAAAATTCGCGATGGGCTTTAGTCAATAGATGGCGCCAGCCACGAATCTTGTTTAATTTATGGGTAGATGCCATTATTGCTTTACACAAACTTAATCAAAAACTCATAAATGCTTTACAAAATATGAAACAGATTATAAAACAAATTCTAAATTCCAAATTTGGGCTCCCTGATGCCCAAATTTGGCTAATTATGAGCGAGATATGTTATCGGCCGAAAGGCAAATATTCGAAATGATATTTTGGACTAAGTGACTATGCGACCATTAAAATTATATACCATCAGCTGACATATGTAATACTGTGCTGTTTAACTGCTTGTCGTTATAACAGATGCCATACTTTTTATGCGAGTTTTGTATCATCTGTATTGTTGTGACTCACTTGTCTCACAGTAACGTGAGAACAAGCCCACGAGATTTATCGTGGCAAGAACAGCAAGTTTCGCTTGTCGTTGGTAAGAGCCTTGAGCACCATACAGGTGATAATCATAGACCTGACCATTACAGCTCTATGGTGATAATACGACTTCGCTCAGTTCCGCCCCTAGTTTTGATGGATACCACCCCAGGGGAAAGGGTCCACCTCTCGAAAGGACTTTCGGCTCGCCGCATATTTAGATTGCCCCCATGTCGCAAAGACACTATACATTTACAAACATCCATGCTTTCTGCGGGATTCGAACCTGGTATTTTCATACATTTCTAAACCATCCATGTCAGGTGACGAAGCCTTGCTATAGGGTGATGTCCCAAATGGAGCGTTTCCCAGAATAGCCTTAATAATTTAATTTCAATTTTGAAAATTGTTACTTAATTTAATTCGGAACATCTTAACTTTGGAAAAGCTGAAATTAAACCAAGTTATTTTATAGCTTCAAAATTACGACCAAATATTATTTATGGTTAGGATTTTAGAGAGACGATAGCATAATTATATCCCAACAAGATAAATCACGATAAAAATGGGTTAAGCCGTCCAAAGCACAGACTTTACGTTCTTTTATTCATAGAGGGAGGTGTAAAAACCCACACGTTTTTGCAAATGAAATGAGGAAATATTTCTCTATTTGACTGAATTGGGAATAAAATTAGCGAATCCTCTCCTCTAAAGCCGAAATTGGAACAAAATTGTTAAGGCTGTTTTGGAAACTCGAGTTTGAGTCTCGGGCCTTCGGTATCTTAGAAAATTTCCCGAATTCCTGACAACAATGATCCGTCCTTGGTGGCAATGATTGTTATTAAGTTGTATCCAGTGCCATTACTGTCGCTGAACACTGATAGTTCGGTGCGAGGTTCGAATCCTGCGAACGGGCTGTCTGCATGGAAGCTTTCGTGGTTTTCCCCATGAGTAACGCCTATACTAGCAGTTCTCTCAGAAAGTCCTCCCCAAAGGCATTCCTCCCTTTAGGCACATAGTCCTCGAGTGCTTTGCCATAAAAACCAAACCATGCCAGTACCATTTTAAGTTTTTAAGTTTTTTTTTTTCCATTTTTTTTATAACATGAAAATCATGTAGTAATTAATTTAACTAAGAAATTTATGTAAAACACGTTTCATAGTTTCTGTCAGTATGTGTCTTATTTTTATCGAATATCTGATATAAGTGTTCGATTTTAAAGTTTGGTTCCTATATAATGTGTGTGTGTGATTATGGCAAAGCCTCGAGGGCTATCTGCCTAAGAGGAGGGATGCCTTCGTGGAGGACTTTCTAAGGGAAACTGGCTCGTATACACGTTACACATGGGGAAAACCACGAAAACGCCCATGCAGCCAGCCCGTTCGTGGGATTCGAACCTCGGACCGAACTACCAGTGTTCAGCGACTTTACCGCTCGGCCGCTGGTGGGCCTTTGGTTCCTATATAATCCTTTCTTGGTACTATTCTGTTTTGAGGGCCGTAAAAAAATTGCTGCGAAAATGTATGCGCAAAAGCGCCAAATCTAGCGTACGCGTTGATTTCAGATTGCGTAAGTTTATATAGTTCTATATTTCTTAAGACGCCATTGAAATACTAGTTTAATTTTTAAATCCTTTTTTGATATCCTAAGGATTTAACAATTTGGGAATTGCCCATCACGAAAAGTCGGCAATAGAATTTTGGGTAAAGTGCAGAATCACTCGCTGCTTGGTGCATTTTTAAGAATTGCACATACTCGGTATCCATGTGCACATCAATCTATTTTCACTTTAAAAAAAAAAAAAAAAAAAAAAAAATCCTAGAATTTCCAAAAAAAAAAAAAAAAAAAGCACTGCGCACACCCTTGACTTTATCTATGTACGCATCGACCTATTTTCGCCTTAAAAAGTGAAAGAAATTTGACAAAAATCCAATTGTTTTTACCCTTGTAAAAAGCGGCAAACAAATAAGTGAGCGATTCGGCACTTTACCGAGAATATTTTCAAAGAAAAGGCGTCATTCATTATAGAAAATTACGTTTGAACAACCAACGAGTTAAAATTATTCTTTAGCGATAGGTCGGTAGCGAAATGGCGATGCAGACATCCATTAGGTTTAGCAATTTTTATATAAATTATAATAATAAAAAAGTATTATATGAAATTAACCTTCCATCTAAATTAAAACATCAATCTTAGATAGTTATTTACTATTATACTTCCTTTCTTTCCGCAATTATTTTTGGCAGCAATGGCATCAACGGTAATTTAGTGATTTTTTACGGCCCTCGAAACCGAATAGTACCCATTTCTTTAATAATTAACATACGTATATTTTTCAGGTGGAACCAGAGAAAATAACTGAAAGGGAGTTTTTGGATATTCTTTATGATGTTGTGGGAAGAGGTGGTGACTTTTGGCTTAAGATTTTAAAATTTTTCACCTTCATCAAGAACTTACTTATGCGAGCCAGTGCAAAAGTATGTGAATTCATAAAGAAGCAAGTAGGAGATTGGTTAAAGACCATTTCAGATACGAAGTCCGAAAATTGGGTATGTTATGATTCTTCATTTCCTATCTGTATTTCTTATGTACCACATAATGTAGAAATGATGTAGTGAAATGTAGATTTCTTTGCAGCTTATCGCTTGTTGAATAATTAAGAATTTGAGTAGTTTTAGCAAAATGAGGAACAATTTTAGAAGGAATCTACGAAATCTTACATCTTTGTACAAAGTAAAGGAAGTATTGTAATCACCAAAAATTCCGGGTATCATATTTGAACGAAAATATCCATTTTGTCCGTTATTTAACGATGTTTTTGAGTGACATCTGTACCTAAGGACAGAATAAAGAACTATTTTTCCCCAAATGAATTATAAAACTGATTTAAAATGGATTAGAAGAGATTTTCTCGTGAAGTCTGTATGTGCGTGTGTACTTATGTATGTATCTCTCATAACTCTAAAACGAGTCGATCAATGTCGATAATTACTTGGTTTATTAATTTTCATATTAAAAGTTTGCATTTCTATTTTTCATGATTTTACTTCAGTAAATAAATTTATATATATATTACAAAACAATTCATTTGAAAACCAAATATAAACATGCCTAGTATTTTCGCTCATTAAGCTGCAGAAAAAATTATCATTAAAGATATAAAGTAAGAAATTTAGAACTAATATTTCACAAAGACCAAAAATTCAAATTCATAATTAATAAATTTCAAGTAAATGCAACAAAGAATTTAAAAATGGTAAAACCAAAACAATTTAAGCAAGCAAAATCCCATTTCAGAAAATTAATAAAATTTAAAGAAAAATTAACAAAAACAGAAGAGGAATTCGATCAACTTCAATGCTACTTCATCGGGGGGGGGCAGGAACATTGAAATCAATTAATTCTCTCTTCTACAAAAATCAATCCTTGCTTTTCTGTATCCAGAATTAGCTGATGAACTATTTCAATGTATTTTAATTATAATAGTTCACCCGAAAAAAAACAAAATAATTTCTAATTAGAATAATTAGAAAAAACCTTAGAAAAAGAGAATTATGTTTTATAAAAAGAGAATTCTTTTTTATTAAAATTGAAACCGAAAATGAAAAAACAGAATACTTCAGTGAAGAAGTTTAAATCAAAATGCTTACATTTAAATAAATAATCCAATGAATAAGGATGTGAATGAATTTATAAAACACTGCTGAAAAAAACCTAATTAGAATACACAAGAAATAATTAAGAACTTCGAGCACTCTCATTAGACACCATTCTTAAGTATGAGATGTGAAACAGAAGTGATGCTCAGGTTTGCCATTTTGGCTTTATTGTCGAAACTAAAAAACCTTGGCGAGAAAGTAGTCGCTCAAAAGGTTAAAAACTTGTACGAAAGAAATTTTGAAAACCAAAGAAAAACTTTTAAAGAAAATTTATTTCGTCAAAGAAAAAAATTGCATGTTAATTGAATTTACTAAAATTAAGTAAATTCTGACTCTTGTAAAACAAAAATGGGAAAAAAGAATATTTTTTAGCGTAAAACTTTAATTAAATTTTAAAATCAATTAATCCTTAAAGAAGACTGAAAACGTTGCACAAAAAGTGATTAAATAGTTTTAATAATTGTTTGGTAGAGATGAGTAAAAAAATCTATACAGTTGAATTTTAGTTTTTAAATTCTGTAATTTAAAAGTACAGAAAAAAGTTGAAAAAGAAAGTAAAGGAACTATATTAGAAAAGTAAAACGTCTTCACGTCATGAGCTTCTCATGACGACTTTGAATATATGTAAGGCCGGGGTTAGTATGGAATAGTAATTAAAAGAAAAAAAACTATATACCCTTTAAAGCATCCTCCTTTATCCTTCTCTTTTGGAGCTTTCAGATAAAAATTTCAGACTTTTAAAAAGTATTATAGGGTGTAGACTTCTCCATATTTGTTTAATATACTGTTAACAAATTTTAAAGGAATTTCATTTTTCTTTTAAAATTTGGTGAGAATTAGAATTTCTTCTTTTTGTGTTTCATTTTCAGTGTAAACTTTTTTAATTCTACTAATTTGGTTAAAAATAATATTTGCAATAACTTTTTTAGATATGTTAGAATTCCAGTTAATAAGTTTATTAGTAGAAAAATTTAAATCTTTTCGTTTATCAAAAAGTTTAATTTCCTTTATGAATACTTAGATCGAGATAAACTACTTCTGTTTGGTTTTTACCCGCTTTGTTACTCGGCTCAGTGAGCTCAGTTTTTTTTAATTATTATTTTTATATGTAGTTATATGTTGGTTAATTGTATATTTTTTGCTTTAAAAATGATTGAATTATGTTGTTATCTTCAGGTTAAGGTTTTCGTGCCTTTAGGTAATCTGTCTGCAATAGTTGCACAATAATCAACAATTTAAAAGTTGTTTAAGTGCGGCTAAGGCTAATATTTTTTACCATAGCATATTTGCTTACATTTGCAACTTAGCAGAATAGTGAAAGTCTTTCTGCACCTTCAGTGTCTTTTTGCCAAATGGGATCAAAAGTAAACTTTCAGTTTTGCGCCACGAAAAATTTGCCTTCTTGCCTGCTGGCCGAATTACTTGTTTTTGCGTAGAAACTGTAATTTTAATTGTAAATTTTTTAAAAATTGTTTTAACTGCATTTGGTGTTTTATGTTTTTCTATATCTTTAAATTTTTAATGAAAATAATTTGAGTTTTATGTATTTTTGCTTGCTGCGTAATAAGAACTGAATTAATTGAATGAGAAATGTATGTCTAATGAAATCTGAGGAAATAAGCTTAAAAGAAGTGCAGGGAAAAGTACGTATAATTTAATATTCCGTACAAGGAAGCCATATGTCATCATGATTGTATCACCTGATGTGTACATATATTTTTTACCATAGCAGTCATATTTGTTTACATTTGAAACTTAACAGAGTGAATTAAGTCAGTTTCTGCACCTTCATTGCCTTTTTGTCGAATGAAACCAAAAGGATTGGATGGATTGGATTGGAGTATTTAATTATGGCAAAGCACACGAGGGCTATCTGCCTAAAGGGAGGGATGCCTTCGTGGATTTAGGTCTGTTTCCGCGATTCCTGTTTGCGCGAAATCGGGGAGTACAGTCCCCCTCCCATAGTTCCTCAGGAGATGTCAGGATGAGTCATTAAGAAGAGTTGGGCAGTTTCTTTGTGGATACAAGTGTCTAGCCCCTCAGATGCTAGTTTCCTCCTGATTCCTCCCTGATCTTTTGCGCAGATTCACGCGCAGCGTGTTTACTCCAAGGAGCTCGGCGTGGTCAAAGCCGATTTTTTTAAAACGCCACGCGTTTAGCACGTTACGAACTTGGTGCGCATTACTGAATGTAAATTAATCTTTATTAGTTTTTCTGAAATAGTTCTTTTAATTGGTATAGATATTTATTGTTCAGATGTTTTATTAAAATCTATACATAAAGGAAGAATGAATTCATTTATTCATCTAAGATCATCGCCCAAAGCTATCGAGATACAGATTCAAAACTTAGGAGCATATTCCTTTGTACCGAAGATGTCATTTAAGAAGCGATTTTTAAGATCCGGCGGGCAAAACGTGTTTTTATGTTTTAATAAGGAAGAAACGATGTAATAAGATTCTTGCTTTAAAATGTATGGAATATGAAACCTAAAAAAAGAATTGCAAACGTTTTCAAAATTCGGCCCCGAAGGGAGGGGGGAAAGTGTTCTTATATATTCTTCATACCTCAGATATCCATAAGACAAACTTATGAATTATTGCTGTAAAATGTAAGGAATACGAATAAAGCTGACATCAACATGTGTGGGGAGGGAAAACGATTGGCATAAAATACAAGTTTACATAATGTACAAGTAGCCCTATTAAAGGTACACACCAGGTAGTAAGCTAGTAGTATAAAAAAAAAAACTTTGATTAATTGATAAAATTGATAATTTAGTTATAAGCATTTTCTGCTTCTTCCGCATGCCTTCGTGATTAATTGGAAGCACACTCGGGGTGTATTCGAGAGGCAGGGTTCGAGACTCGTGGAGGGTACTGTATATTTTTCACGTTTGTGCATTGATTAAACCCAATACGTCACACGTAATCAAATTTATTAAATTTTCTAATTGTAGCATGCATTTTAAGGGATTATCAGGATTTCGAAAGCATGAATTTTAAGGATATCAGAATATCGCAATATTCGACGAATCTGAATTCTCCACTTTTAAATATCCATCGCCAAAGAAACTAAAGTCGTTTGATATTTGCCTTAAGAAGCTGATTTTTACTTAAAGAGCTGATCTCAGTTACAACTGTTGAACCAGTGTTTCCGAAGTTTTAATATTGCCACCATACGAATAAATTAAATTGCGATCGCATTTACATTTGGAATTGAAAGTGACTCACAAAGTACAGTTTCTCTAAAAAAAGAAGCTAATGAATAGGAGATTTAGGAAAGAGCATTTAAAATGAATAATATCAAATAAGTGATAATAATAGCAGTTTCCATTATATACGAATACAGATGTGTATATATAAAAATAAATGATTTAAAATATACTCTTTAACTATTTATATTACTGTCAATAATACTAACAAGTATATCACATAATTAATTATTTTAAATAGTATGATAAATATATACAATCACTGCTGAATCGTGCGCTAGCTTCTGGAATTTCTGAATTAAAATCTTTGAAATAACAAATTTACCTTTGACAATTAATAAATTATCAATGGTTTTATTAATGTATTTGGATATTCCGATGAATGCAAGTAAAGCAAGTCCATTCAATCGAGATTCAGATGCTATATTTCTGAATTGGGACTTTGACAATTTACAGCTTGGAAAAAAACTTCTTTTTGGCTAGGACAAAGCTTTCTCAGAAGCTGCCTGATATTCGAGGTATATTTATTCTCATCTTTCTCTTTTCGCAACGAATAAATATTCTGAGATTTTATTATAATTCACCTTTATGCAGAATTTCGGAAAAATACTGTTTTTACTTTAGGAATATCTTTTAGTTCATGCCAAAATCATCGCAGAGTTTGAACATCTCTTCC